AGGTCATCAACCTCCAGAAGGATCTGACTGTCTTCCCAGGCCAGATACTCCTGTAAATGGTTGTACTCAACCATTTACTTCAGCCTGCTCAAAACGAACAAGCGCAGTCCCATCAGCCCCTAGAAACTTCCGAGGCTGCACCTGTTCTATGGCCACGACCATGTTTGCGGCTGTTTTTTTTTTCCTTCTCTTATCTTTTCTTTTCTTATTCCCCCCCTTCATTTCCCCCTGTGAGGGGCAACTCGTTTTTCGAAACGAGTGGCCTCCCTCACTGTTTCATTTCACAGAGTCAAACTAGAGTCAAGCTCAACTGGGTCTTTCCCATTGACTCGTTTAAACCCGTTCCCTTGCCTGTGCGCCTGTATCAGTGCAAAAAAAATGCCCGCTTCAGACACACAGGAAGAGCCAACATCGAAGGATCAAAAGCAACGTCGCTATGAACGCTTGGCTGCCACAAGCCAGTCATCCCTGTGGTAACTTTTCTGACACCTCTAACTTCAAGTCCTGAAACGCTAAGGGATCGATGGGCCTCGCTCATCGAGGTTTCTTCCCCCTTTCTCCCATGCGCGCCCATACCTAGGCGCCAACAACGCCAGGTTCGGGCGTTCGAAACTCATGCTGCCCTTTTAAAATAACAAACAGGCGCATGGTGGACATCACCGGTTAAAAAAAAAAGAAATGAGGAGCTCTAAAAAAAAGAAATATCTAAGAAGAAAAATCCAAAAAAAATCCAAAAACAGATCTATAAGAAAAAATCTAAGAAACTAAAAAAAGAAACGACAAACTTACCTTGTAGATGAAAAAACGATCGTCCGTGGCGCCTGAAACTTTTCATGGGGGCTGTAAGTCCCTGTCAGTTCTCAATGCGCCATCTGGCGCTTCATTTCGTTCATCTTTTTTTTTTTTTTCCTTTTGTTTTCCTATTGGCTTTGGCCAATGGTCACGTCATGACACCTCTTCGAACTGTTGAAATACAGGTCCGAGTTCGAGTCCTAGAGGACTCGAAAGTTTTATTATTATTATTATTATTATTATTTTACGTTTTATCGATTTATGCATGTCATCCTTGCGCAAGGGCCATGATGATGCGCGTGGCCGATCTGGACCGCGCGATCTCCGCAATCAAACGACTGGATTCGACCGCACTGGCAGCATATAAAGTGGGCAACTCCAAAAGGAGCTAGCTGAGTGGCATGCGCGATTTGATCCCGGTATCTACTGGATGAAAATCTTGCATTGTAACCTACTGAGCTAGCTCCTATCACGACAGTAATAAGAGCATCTCTTCTATAAGAAGAGCTTGGCCCTAGCATCCCTCCTGCTTATGGACTTGCAGGCGCTGCCTGCTTGAGGCCTTACATGCTTTGCTTGCTTGCCCTGCAAGCCTAAGGCTCTGCCTGCCTGTGGCCCTGCAGGTCTCACTTGTTGGCCCTGACCCGTCGGATGGCCACGACTTAACTGGTCACTTAACCGGGTAGGCCTCGGCATCGGCCTGTCGACCCCCTTGCCCAAAATCAAATCCTACGGGCCCAGGAAAAAAATTAAAAACTTCTATTCCCCCCGCGTCACGACCCGATACTCAATGCGACCATTCTTTTTAGCCTACCTAGGCCCTGAATCACGCGGCTGCTACGCCGCACGTCATTCTTTTAGGTAGGATAGGTTTAATTTTGGCATTCCCATGTCTGCGCACCTCTGAGGCCTCAACAGAAGCGAAGCACTGCCAATTACTTATGCTACTCTCGGATGCCGCAAGCGTTCGGACTAAAGCTCGAAAACTTTTAGTCTCTCATTCATAGGTCAGGTCTGAATGAACTTTTGACAAACATCAGTCTCATCAAGTCCTTCAATTCAACGAAAGAGTCGGACAACGTCCGACGTTTAAAATCCCCCGCAAATACCCTTGTCAACTAGGTTACTGGGTCGGGCGTCCGGGCCACCCCGAGACGTCTCGGACGTCCGACCAGACTACCGGGTCGGTGGTCCGGTGCCCGACAGAGGTCCCGCGGTTATGGAAAATAGGGGCCAGATCTCTTAGGGGCTTAGGGTGGCGTGGGAGGGCAGTGCTTAAGTGTAGGGGTCCTGTTGGACCTCGGTCCCACAGTCCGAGGCCAGCAGGGCATGAAAAAAATGAAGTGAAAAAGGCCCGACCTGGGCCGTCCGATCAATCCGATCGACGGCCCATATCGCGCCAGATTCAAATTTCAACTTCAAATCACTGCAGGGGGGGGTACCACCCTCCCGCGCCCACCGCCGCCCCCGCCCCGACCTTGCCTGCCTGATAGTGTCGCCCTCGCGACGACGAGCTCGTGTGTGCTCTCGCGAGAACGCGGCACTTCAGCCCCACCATTTCCACAACCATCTCGAGGTAAGTCTGCACCACAACCCCTCCTCTTCCTCCTCCCCCTCGTTTGGGTCGTCCTCCTGTTCTTCTTCATCTTCATCTTCTTCTTCTTCTTCTTCTTCTTCTTCTCAAATTTGTTATTCTTCGTCTTTGACTTCTTCTTCATCGTCGTCCTTGTAGTCCACCTTGATTGATTGATTGATTGATTGATTGATTGATTGATTGATTGATTGATTGATTGATTGATTGATTGATTGATTGATTGATTGATTGATTGATTGATTNATTGATTGATTGATTGATTGATTGATTGATTGATTGATTGATTGATTGATTGATTGATTGATTGATTGATTGATTGATTGATTGATTGATTGATTAATGTGTTTTACCCGCCTCCTCCGCCATCACCCACCTCCAATCAATCAATCAATCAATCAATCAATCAATCAATCAATCAATCAATCAATCTGTTGAGATCGACGGATTGATTGATTGATTGATTGATTGATTGATCGATTGATTGATTGATTGATTGATTGATTGATTGATTGATTGATTGATTGATTGATTGATTGAATAAGGCGTCATACCCGCCTCCTCCGCCATCACCCGCCTCCAATCAATCAATCAATATCAATCAATCAATCAATCAATCAATCAATCAATCAATCAATCAATCAATCAATCTACTTCTTCTTCTTCTTCTTCTTCTTCTTCTTCTTCTTCTTCTTCTTCTTCTTCTTCTTCTCTTCTTCTTCTTCTTCTTCTTCTTCTTCTTCTTCTT